ATTGATGATGCACTTATTTAAGCACGTGTTTATTAATTGTTTGTAAAGATATACGGGAGATTAAGGGCCTACGGTTGTTGCAAGTGAGTAAATTTTCAGAGTAGAAATTGCTTTTTCCTTTATGCAACTCTTTGACCATCCCCCTTTTTTCTTAGGTAAAAAACCCTTGGAGTCATAAAAGATGGACAGGCGATTTTAGCCACCAAGACAACGTTCATTGGACACCAGAGTTAATGCGGGCGTTAAATTACGACAGAAGAAGTGCTGCGAGAAGTGATGATGGTATATATCGAATGAACACAGCAGAGCATCTTATTGACGTTATCTTGACGCTAATTATTTATTAATTTTATAGGTGTTTTCTGGATAGATTTCGATTCAGTCTGCAAATATTTTGACTCTATGCATGTGAACGAGAATCCGGGATTGTTCGAATATAAAGACGTACTGCACGCGTAAGTCTTGACATTTCACATATCTGATGCTTATGTTTGAACAACCATCTGTAATAATTTTTTTCGTTACATCTAGGTCTTGGTCAAACACAAACATAGTAAACACTGACACTTTTAATATAGGAAACAACCCACAATATTCTCTAGAAATAGTTAACAACAATACGAAAGCATCAGCTGTAAGATTACTTTTGACAAAGCACATAATAACCGTGGGTGAGAATAAAGACCACATTGCTTTGCATGTATATAATGACACCGATGGAAAGAAAATATTCTATCCAAAAGATCCAATGATCCAAGGGCTGTATGTAAACAGTCCACACATACTGGTACGTGATTTTGAGTTTAGTTTTCGGCATTCACATGTGGAATGCTATGCTAACGATTGGGTTTGTAGGTGAGATTTGACGCTCAGCCAGGTGTTTCAAAGTATACAGTTGTAGTGGCACAACATGAAATGTCAGGACTGTTGTATTATACTTTACGATGCTTCTGCCAGTCACCGTTTACGCTATGTGATGTAGTAGACAGCTACCCGATCGAGAAAGAGGTGATATGCCGATGACGTATGATTGATCTACTGAGAACTGCTTGTTTTAACAGTCTAATATTTGTAGGTTAATGGATGTTGGACACAACAAACGGCCGGTGGTCATTCATCCTTGATAACGTTTCTTTATAATCCACAATACAAGCTTTCTATAAAACCATCTCCTGAAAGTATAAGAGTGAGATTATCACTAGAAGGACCCTTATCGTATGCAATGAACGTAAAATTAGTTTGGAGCCAGGGAAAAAGAGTTGCTAGGTGTGTTGTATTATAATGTATTGATGAATATAGTGCCATCAACTTACTCAGCTTTTGCTTTATTTGGATTATAGCGTAGCAAACAAGGATATAGTTGTACAGTCCGGCGGTGAATACCGTCCTGCATTCTGTTATTGCGAAAAGGAGGACGTACAAGGTAAACCTCTTTTTTTTTTGCAAAAAATTGAAGATAATACGACAGAAAATACTCACCTTTCCGTAATGCAGCTGGCGACTATACAATTATTGTATCGACGTATGATGCTGGATTATGTGGGGACTTTAAATTGACTGTTGCGAGCAATTCAGAATTTCAGATCAGCGAAATTCCTTCTGAAGGAGCTGTATGTACCTGGGTAAAATGATATGGTGGAATTTATTTCTACAGATACGTACTAATTTTCGAATTTTGGCATATTTTAAAGGGCATGTTTAAGAAAGTAATTAACGGTCAATGGTGAGTAACAATACTATGATCTTGTCAGATAGAGGATTCTATTTAATGCTTGTTTGTTATATGCTTTAGGATTGGAGGTGTAAGTGCTATGGGACATCAAGGGTATCGTGATTACTACAGAAACCCGTGTTACCTGCTGCAAATCAAACAATTGACTACTGTAAAGTAAGTTAATGGCCCTGCTACTCTTTTAACATCATTCGTGCTTTCATATCACTGACAATCATCCCCAAAGAATTCGACTTCAAGCGCGCAACATTACACCAATTCCCGCGATGAATATAAAGTTATTTGAAGCACGATTACCGCAACACGAAGATGTCGTGAGAATAGGCAAAGAAGTCTGTAGTACTGGCGCATACGTTGAATTCGTTCAGGTAGTTCTCGCTCATTCTTGAATCCATGTGCAAAGCAACTGCTGACAAATTGACATTTATTTTCATTTCATAAACAGGGTGTTTGTACGGACGATGTAGTGCTACCCCCTAGAGAAGAAGGTATGAGTTATTCTTGATTTATTCTGGTCAATGTTTTCGTTTGCGCATATACTAATAACATATATACGTAATAGGATATGTAATTATATTTTCAACATGGGAGCGCGGAGTTGCCGGAAATTTTGTAGCATATGTTTATAGTGATGGGATCATCAGCATAGAAGAGATATCACGATAGAGTTAGAAGGAGCATTTTAATAGAACACAAATTAATATATCGAACGGATGCCATCGTAGACATACATCGAATTATGGCTCAGTTCACTAATAAGTATAGAATCCTCTCCCTGTTTTCTTTCCTAACCATCCAGCATCAACATATTTCTGTAATAACACAGCCGGTCTATATTTGGGATCTCCTAATTCACTATGCAACACTTTCATTATGGCCAAACATGTATCTAATCCAATAAAATCAGCTAATGTCAAAGGTCCCATCGGAACGTTTGTACCCAACTTCATAGTTGTATCGATGTCTTCTCTCGTCGCAATGCCCTAATTTGAAAGAGATGAGTGGTGGGCTCAGAAATCGACGAAATCTAAATGTTTTATAAGAAGTTTCGTGGTTCTACCTGCTCAAGGGCTACTACGGCCTCATTTATGTAAGGCATCAAAATCCTATTAGCGATGAACCCTGGAACATCTTGTGACGTCGTGCATGTCTTTCCCATCACAGTCGCGAGTGCTCTCGTTGCCTGCAGGGTGTCGTCGGAAGTAGCAAGGCCAGGAATTATTTCTACTAATTTCATGACTGGCACCGGATTCATAAAGTGCATTCCAATAACCTATATAAAATCAAATAGTCGAATAACGCAAATATATACAATTAACAGAAACACGTTTGCCTCCTTACTTTTTCAGGCCTTTTGGTAGCAGCTGCAATCTTGGTGATGCTAATACTGCTAGTATTAGTGGCTAATATAGCATCTGCATTCATGATGCAATCCAATTCTGCAAATATTTTTCTTTTTAACTCGACATTCTCTGATACTGCTTCAATCACAAAATCGACATCGAGAAGTTGATCTGGAGATTCAACGGTCGCAATACGTAACTTTGTTGCTTTCGCGTGAGATTCGGTAATACGCCCTTTCGACACATCCTTTGAGAGAAGGGAGTCTATGATAATCACATTTTGTAAATAATAACGTTTACAATGTTGATCCAATCAACAAGAACTTTTCTTACCAGCAAGAATCAAGCTTTTCTCAAGGTTTGTTCGGCTAGAGTCATAAATTCTGACATCAAGTTGTGCAATGTTTGCAGCAACCAGGGCAATGCCCATACCCTAATTATGAATCAACACATTCATCAAACACCTAAATTTCAAACACAACATTAGGCAAGCTGTTAAAATCAGATACCATTTGTCCCGCTCCAACAACGCCAATCTTTTCTATTTTACACGTCTTGGTTGCCTGTCTACATTGATGACTTGTATGAAAAAATGACTATGGATGAATCCAGAATAAGTATCTATCGCATTATTACCCATCTGAGAACACATAGTTTATAATAGATAACCTTGCCTTGCTAAGCGTAAGAAACTGCTTTCGGAGAGGAAACAATGTGATTCTTGATGTAATCATATCAGCGCAGAAGAGATCTCGTTACTTGTGATTTGCAATCGGCAAGAATAAAGCATTGTGATTCGAGTATTATGTATTTATTAATGTGGGAATGAAAGATTAGAATTTAGTGTAACTTTTTGTTAAAAGAGAATCTTCGTTTTAATCTGTCACAATAACTAGTAATTGTATCAAACAAATAGATAAGAAATAGTAAACCAACTCACCCTTCCTCTTTGATTAACGGGTCCTTTACAAACAGCAATTTATCCCGCGGTCATCTCTCTCTCTCTCTCTGTAGCTTGATGTCAAATTGTTCATGTAAAGATAACCTCCAGCCTAAGTTAGAAGCCAGCTGGCGTTTCTCGTGCTCGAAGTAATTAAAAGAATTATGACAATTAACAGTAAAAAGGATTCGGATTGATTGATCAATCCCTCTTCATTGGATGAATTATTCGTGATATAAAATTGAGTAATAGTAAGTCGCGGTTGACAAAGTCATCCATTGCACAGAAGGTGAAAAGGGATTCTGTTATTACTTGGGAAAGTACACTAGACTTATAAACGAACTGCAAGAAGATACTCACTTCCAACAAGCAAATTAAGATATACAGACGATGCTTCACTAATCAGTTCAGACTATATGCAGCATGGGCTTGCAACGTAAGGCACTAATAGAAGGGTTTACCGAACATGAAGACAATTATTACATGGTTGCTAACGTTAAGTTTCAACATTGCTACTTATACTTACAATATGGATTTTGTCTGACTGTGAATACTTAGATGCAGTCAGTATGGTGTGTTTGCGGACACCAAGAACTATCCAATGAAACAATAATAATAAGAGACTTGATGAGTTATTAAAATTACAAACCAAATCAGCAAATGATGCTATTTAGACTGGATTTGACGGAACTAATATAATACTGACAGCTGTTAAACTGATTTCACTTGGGGTAACAGACGAGATAAACTATTCAAATATATAATACAGTAAATTTTAAGTCTCTCGACTTCATGTAAGCATTATGCAACAATCAACCATTCACAAATATTAATATTATGCCTGGATTTGCATATGATGCTGAAAAACAAGAATACTGCTTGCTAAAGATTTTAATTTAATTGATCTGCATTCTGTGTTTTGGACACACAAATAAGGGTTGATGCTTACTAAGGTAAGCAGAAAGTTATAAGCATTGCACATAGTAGATAAAGCCTTTTTGGATGAAGTGTCTGTAATGTATGGGGATTGCGATCACTTGTACATTTCAGACCGGTGGGGGTATCTTGGGAATTGCGATTGCCAAGTTCATGTCCAGGGATTGCGATCGCTGGACCTAAACCACTCTACTCGCTTA